TCTTCTTTTTCTTTAGCATATTGCTAATACTTTCAGAAGCCCACAAAGAAATCAAGAAAAGATAGCAGTAGATAACTTATTGCACCAAGAACAAATCAAGAAGAATTTTGCTACTTGTATATCAAAATGGTACATAACCAGTTACTGAAAATGATGTGAAGAGAAAAGATTTGATGAAAAAGCTGATCGTGCTTTAAACTAGATAAAGTGCCATGTGGGTATATGTAATCCCTCGTGTAAACTTTGATATATATATAAAATAAAATATCACATCGAAGGAGAATCATTTTTCGAATGATTTGAACCTCCATACAATTCAATTATTTTAATAATACCTTATTTTTTATTTTCGATATGTAATAAATACTGCATAATTATTGTCATTTATGAAATTTGTGTTATTAATTCTCAATTAACTAACAAGTAATTTTTATGAATCAAATGTAATATAAAAAGATTGTTCATTTATAGTATTTCATCATTACAAAAAATTTGAATCATAGAAATTGAGTTTTGACAGTACAATTTGAATATAATTTTCTTCTCTTAAAATTTTATGCTAAATTTTATTTGTCCAAGACCATCAAATCTTCCAACAAATTAGTACCAAATATTATTTTTACAACACTAATAAATTTTTTTTGAATAACATGCAATGCACGTTCAACTTTGACTAGGTTCTCCAAAAATGTAAATGTGAATGGACTAGAGGCACCTATAATTGAATTAAAGGACAGTTGTACTAGTTCATTTACGTTGTCATGTTGAGTTATAATTGTTACATTCGAATTTATGGAAAGTTTGTCTGTTCGTCCGTCGAGGGAATTCGGTTTCCTCGTTTGTTACATTTAGGATCCGTTTGATTGTAAATGTGGAATTGAATTGAATTGAAAACGATTTTCAGGGAATTGAATTACCTAAAAATTGTTTTCCTAAGAATTGTAAATTACTGTGTTTAATTGGTATAATTTTTCAAGTGAAAAATGTTGAAATAAAAGTGTTTTTTAGTGTTCGTTTGACTTTATTTTACATGAAAATTATCAATTAAATGGATAGATTTCACTGGTATTGGAGATGAAATTTGTTTCCATTGCCAACCAAAAAAAAAAAAATCAAGAAAATCATCTATCTTTTAGTGTTCGTATGACTTTGTTTTACATGAAAAGTGTCAATTAAAGGAAAATATTTTTTTATAATTATTTTTAGAATTTGTTTCAATTGCCCAAAAAAATAAAAAAAATAAACGAAAAATAAAAATTGCTACAGTAATCCGGGAAATTGCTGAGAATTCATTTTCCTAAAAAAGAAGGAAAATGTCTATGTGGCATCAAAAGGTGAATTCCATGAAAATTTTTGCGAATCAAACACCAAAAAAATGAAAAGATAAAATTACAATTCCATTTTCCATGAAATTGGTGTGCAATCAAACAGTTCCTTAACTTTTTTGAAAAATAAACGACTTGTAGTTTTCCTAATTTTACTGCTTAAATATCACGTCCTGTGTTCATCCGATTAAAACCATGTAGTAAGGTTCTGAAAAATGGCAATATAAAGTACAATTGATGATCACCCCTTTAAGATTAACAACTGAAGTTAAGAAAATAATAAAATAAAATAAAAGGATGTTAAAGTCCACAAAAAAAAAAAAAAAGACCAAAAAAGTGAGTTCAGAGATCATCTTCCTTAGTTGAAGAATTTAGAATTGCATTACTACATGTTAATACAATAATGCATGGTCCACACGAATTTATTATTCGATATTTGTGTTTGATTGATTAGAATTTTTCTTCCTCTAGTAAAATGAAATCGGAAAAAAGCTGCTTTTTGAGAATAATTGAACAAAGATTACAGTCAAAAGAAATTTACTAGGTTAACTATAATTAGGTTTGAAATGATAATGTTGATGAATTTCTTATAATCAGGGAATAAAGCCATGAACTTTGGACTGAAGAATCAGTTCTTGAAAAACAAATTTTTAGATCAGTAAGAATATGTTTTCTTGATAACATTAATGCATCATTAACACAACTTTATTCCTTTTTGTGTGCATTGAATTTAGCATCTTTGTTTATTAAACTTCTGTACTTATTAATAAACTTAAAAGTAGAATTTTTAGCCTAGCCAAACATGCGTGTAGATGCATACGAGACTCAAGATTAAAGAAGTAATAATAGGAGGACCATTAGAACAATTTAATGTTTCATACTAAAAAAATCAGCATTAATAACGTCGCTATCATCAAGTCATTTAAATTTTCAAAATTAGTCAAAAGGTAAGGAGAAAAAAACCAAACTACAAAATTTTCTATAGAATCGAAGATAATAATTAGTTCTCGGTACAAAACGTAAATGCTACAATAAAGACTAATGTGCATACCAATATACACTTTTGGAGACTCATATTTAAAACTGTAAATGGATTGAATATGAATTAGATCTACACAAATTCAATTCTATCCGTTAAAAATAATTATCCAATCCAATCCGATCAAATAATCCAATGAATATTTGATTGTTAAATCCATATTCGATCCAATAATTCGATTCAAAATTGTATTACTCAACTTTTAAACCCAAGAATTAAAAGGTCCAAATAGCTTTTTACCCAATTCTTGCCCCCACCTATTTATAGACTGTAAATTTTATGATATTCTAGTAAGTATCCGATGTGGAAAGTGATAATTTGGGAACAATGAAAGCAACTCTATCGGTTAGCTCCTTTGGTTGTTCTTGTTAAATCCATATTCGATCCAATAATTCGATTCAAAATTGTATTACTCAACTTTTAAACCCAAGAATTAAAAGGTCCAAATAGCTTTTTACCCAATTCTTGCCCCCACCTATTTATAGACTGTAAATTTTTTGATATTCTAGTAAGTATCCGATGTGGAAAGTGATAATTTGGGAACAATGAAAGCAACTCTATCGGTTAGCTCCTTTGGTTGTTTAATTTATAAAATAAATTAATTATTATCTTTATTTTAATTTAATTAATAAAAAATGAAATCTATTCAAATAATTCAATGAACAATATTATACTATTATCTAATATTATTTGTTATTTGAAAATTATGTGTAAAGTATAATAATAGTTTAAAAATGGAAAATTTTATGAAATAAGTTATGTGATAATGGATAAAATATATTATATTATTATAACAAATCGGATTGGGTTATCGAATCGGATTCACCTATATTCATATTTGCTTTATTTAGTTAATGGATTATCGAATTCGAATCTTGATCAGAGTACTAAGATATTAAATTCATCTCCCATTAATTTCATCGGATTCAAATCCAAATCCAATCTATTAAGAGCCCTACTCATATCCCTTGTTCCTTACATTTACGAAGGAGGGCATTTTACATTTGACTACAAGATCAATTGAAGGAGTACACATTTCTTTCTGGACTATGAAGGCAAACAACAGTGCTATCGAATTTAATCTCTTTAAAAAACACCAAGTGAGTAACTCGGCCCCCACGTCATGTGTTATGTAGGTTGTAATGTGATGTAGGTGTGAAAATTTTGATCTTAAAGCAGTGAGGTGTGAAAATTTTGATCTTAAAGCGTTGTATAAAAAATACATAGGAAAATCCAAAACCATGTATGTATTAGATAAAAGGCTTTATCAGCACGTGTTGAATTATTTCAATGAATATATATAAAGCAGATGAATAAATGTTAAAATTGATTCATCTTATCCTATCCATGAAGTATGGGACAAGAGAGTTCTCCATTTGTATTTCATGTTTTAGTTTGCATGCCATTTCCCACAGGAAAATAGTCCACTTATTAATTGTCTGACTTATGTATGGATTAATTATCCATCACAAGATGAAACTTTTTATGATGAATTTCTAATTTGATGCTTTAAGCTCCACACGCTACGAAAAGACGTTAACAATGACGAAAGTATTATCAACGATAGATTTTTCCATCCTTGATGCTCATTTTTCGTGGAGTGTGACCACTCACTTAAATAAATTAAACTTCCTAAATGGGAAATAATAAAATGATGCAAGCCTCATATTCTAGCCTAGGTATATACAAAAATGAAATAGGTTTACTTGGTCTTTACAAGGTCTGTATAAAAAATACATAGGAAAATCCAAAAACCATGTATGTATTAGATAAAAGGCTTTATCAGCACGTGTTGAATTATTTCAATGAATATATATAAAGCAGAGGAATAAATGTTAAAATTGATTCATCTTATCCTATCCATGAAGTACGGGACAAGAGAGTTCTCCATTTGTATTTCATGTTTTAGTTTGCATGCCATTTCCCACAGGAAAATAGTCCACTTATTAATTGTCTGACTTATGTATGGATTAATTATCCATCACGAGATGAACCTTTTTATGATGAATTTCTAATTTGATGCTTTAAGCTCCACACGCTAAGAAAAGACGTTAACAATGATGAAAGTATTATCAACGATAGATTTTTCCATCCTCGATGCTCATTTTTCGTGGAGTGTGATCACTCACTTAAATAAACTTCCTAAACGGGAAATAATAAAATGATGCAAGCCTCATATTCTAGCCTAGGTATATACAAAAATGAAATAGGTTTACTTGGTCTTTACAAGGTTTGTTCTTTTCTTAAATGTACAAGAATATATGCTTGACTAAAACTACTTCAATAAATAATGAGATCATTATCCATCCTCATGTTACATGAATTTTAATTAAGAGAAGGTTCTGAAGAACCCATTACGACAAAAAAGGAAAAGGTATATGGAATTATGTGGGACCAATTACAATGTCTTTATTCATTAGGGTTCAGAAACATACAAAAGACAAAACAAATTTTCAGTAGCCCATGCAGAAAGAATATTAATATATTATACTTAGAACCAGGTAAAAATTATTCAAAAAGGGAATAATATTGATTAATCCCATATGGATTGTTACCAAACTTTATAATAATCAATTCCATATATAGCTCCACTATATATATGTGTATCCATTCATCTTTGAGCAACAGACCAGCCATATTCACTGGATTCTGATTCTCTCTTCATTTCTCTTAAATCCGACAATACTGATAATGTCTGGTGTTTGGGTGTTCAACGATGGGGTTTTTCGACTCGTAGAAAATCCCGGCGAGAGCCATGGCTCGAATGCACGCCGGAAAGTTCTAGTCCATGTCCCCTCTAATGAAGTTATTACATCATATTCTGTCCTCGGAAGGATATTATCATCGCTCGGGTGGGAGAGATACTATGATGATCCCGAACTTCTTCAGTTCCATAAGAGGTCTACAGTTCATCTCATCTCTCTACCCAAGAATTTCAACAAGATCAAGCTCATGCACATGTACGATATTGTCGTCAAGAATCGTAATGAGTTTGAAGTTAGAGATGTTTAATTTATCAAGTGTGCTGCTAATTTATGTGTAGTTGATGATCAAGTGTTTGGTTGTAGTTTAGATTTCGTTCGGAAACTTGCATGTTTGCTGTCACGGTGTTGCTATTAATGCTATATTTGACATGGGTTTGGGCTTGTATTTTAGGACACTGATGTAACATACAAACGTTTGTTTAATACGACATACGGGGTTTGTTCATTTTGTTCATATACTTCAAAAGTATGTCTCCTATAGAGTAGCAACTAAGATGATAGGATAATATTCTAACATTTTTGCTACTTTATCATCTCATATTAGGCAATCTCCAAATTTTAATACTATTAATTATAGGAACATGTATCATGACTTTTGAAAAATCAAAAGTTGTTTCTAATACTAAGAAACGACATTTGAACATGTTTAATTAATTTTCTGTAAGTGTTTTGTCTAACTTAAAAAACTTTTGGAGAAAGTTAATCTAAAATAACTTCATCATGAAATTTTTTTAAAAGAAATAGAAGCACTGCTAAACGAAAAAATCATTTTAGGCAAACTAAACTTACATCACATTATCTACCGGTGAAAATATATTCAATACATCAAAGCAAAAGTAAAAACATTTATATACAAGTTTGGTTAACCCTAATTAGAACTCTTTAATCATCGTACATCTATGATTAGCACAACTTAATTAATAGAGAAAATTCCTTACTTGTTTAATTATAACAAATTATTAATATGCTCGTTAAATTAGTCTTAAGGCTTAACTCATAAAGCATCTTCAAATTGAAAGGACAAGCAATAAGTATAGGATATTGTAGGTTAAAATAACTGAATTATACTATATTTATCGAAAAAGAGAAGTATCAATATGAGTTTATTAATGTTGTTTCATTGCAAAACAAAAATAATCTCAATGCTTGTTTGGTAGAACTTTTGTTTGCTAAAAAGTTATTCAACTTCATTTTTAATTATGTATTTTATTAGATTCACGACTTTCATTTATTTTTTCACCAAACATTTTATGGAATGAACAACTCTATTTAAGAATATATTATGACTATGTTTGAGCCACATTTAAAAATATATATATATATAACAATGATTTGATATCATTTCAACCACACATTCTTCAATAAAATAATATTCCAAGCAAATTCAAAATTTTTCTTTATTTTTTAATCACACATTTATCATCAATACACTATTCAAAAATGTATTCTCAAGAATATAATATGGCTCAAACAAAGGCTATATTACTCTTTCTTTCTTAATAAAGGTTAAACAAATGGCAAAAGGTGAGATGAACTGACTTTCTCTTTCTGAATATAGGTTAAACAAGTGGCAAATGTCCTCTATGTACCATATTCGCCAACCCAATAGAGATGATAAAGAGAGAGCACTATCGGCAATGGTGAAGGGTCATGACCTTACAAGGATCAACTAACTTTAAAAGCTCATCCTCGTTTCAAGTTTTGTTCCTATTAACATGTATCGTATTAATACTTATAAGATTTACCCAAATTCAACCTTTGGGTGGGGCACACTTCATAAACAAATTAATATTCTTATTTATATACTTGAAAATTAGCCAGTGATGAGTTAATTGATTGAATCACGGCAGATTCCTACTTTAAAACAGCCTTTTTTGACAAAGATGCTTCAGCCTGCAAGAGTGTTACTCATTTCCCACCCAATAAAGAAATATCCTTAAAAAGAAATTAAATATATATATTTTTTGTGGGATGATTTTTACAAGTTCGGTAAAACATGACTTTCAATGCCAATGTATATATAAACAAATATGTTGGGGGCCTTCTCGTACAAAACTTAAAACATAAAATACAGTAGTTTTAGTAGGGAAATCAAAGGCAAGCCGACACCCGTGAACTTCCTTTATCAAACTTCAAAGGTTTTTTCCTTGTCGGCATCGTGTTTTGCTCACGGTCTCCTCTTGAAAATTCGAAGGATGTGCATCTATTTTTCAAAAATGGGGCGTTCTGAATGCACAATTGTTAGGCACCCATAAAGTATATTTAATAACTCTGATTGCGTTTTATATTGATTGTGGAAAACTTTTTGTTGACTTGTAATTTCTTCGAACACCGTCTTTTTAAAAGCTAAGTTTAAAAGTGAATTCTATCTAAATGTAAACAAAATGATTCACGTTATACTATTAACTTGCCCTAAATCTGAAGTCCTGATCAAACAACGAGTTGTCCTATCTATCCATTCACCCCTCCAAATACAATATCTTCATTACCTGTGATAGTTACCACCTGTGCAGGCATGTAATGTTTAGGCATAGAATCGAGTTTATGTGAATGAAAAGTGATATTATATAAGAGAAACATATTCAAGAATCAAGATAGGATTATGTTACTTGTACATAAAAATAATACATAAAGGATTACATAAAATTTTATGTGATTGATACCTTTTGTCTGTGACCTTAAATTTGATAGGCTACAAGATCATTAGATTGTTCAACCTTACTTTATTAATCTTTTGAGTCCCGTCATGCACCGGACTCAAATGTGAATCAACCATGATAATAAATAAAACGATTGTAAAATTATTTGTTATAATGAATATCTTGAAGTTTAAATGATCATCTACGTATGTGCTACATTGTTCAATGAGATTTGAATTTATATTGGACAACGTGAATATCTAGACTCCAAATGAACCGTGCTACACGACACGCGGGCAGGGGCGGATCTACCTAGTGGCGAGCAAGGGCGGCCGCCCTAGCTGAATCCACCAAAACTACCGGATTGTTGAAGAGCAAAATGAAGCCACCCTAGCTGGATTTTCGAAACCGTCGGAACAGAGGAGAAGAGACAACAGACGCAGTTGCTAGGGAAGGAGGAAAGAAAGAAGAAGATATGATTTGGGCTGCTTGTGTGAATTGTGATGACTTGGGCTGTTGGACCTTTTTACAAAAACGAATAGACTGGCCCAAATCAATGAAATCATCCATTAATGATTAATCCATACCCATATCAGTTTCCCCAAATGAAATGAAATGGGATCTCGTCAATTAGGCGAGTCAGAGAGCAAACCCTTGAATTCTTTCCATTATTCGCCCCTGATTCCATAATTTTCATCACATAATTTCCTTCCACGTTCTCATTCAAAGTGTGAAGTGGGTTGACTGGGCACTGGGCTAGTGGCGTGTGGGTTGCGATTGCAAAGTGCGTGTCGGAGTCAGGCGGTGTAAGCAGCGATGTGTTGTGCGAGATTGTGCGAATTGCGAAGGAGAAGAAGCTGTGTGCAGCGTGGGTCAGGGTCCTCAGGGACTCAGGGTGAGTTCACTGTTCTTCATACTTGGAAGTCTTGAATAGTTGAATGGTTTTTGTTTTTGTTGAGTTCTTTTGGTTCAAATCCTTTTGTTATCTTATCTGTTTTTGGTGAATTGCGATTGCGAAGTGATATCAGAATCTCTTTTTGTTGAATTGTTGAAACTTGAATGTTGAATTGTTGATTTGTTGCACTTGTTTGTTGAGACTTGAGAGAGTTGCCTTGCCTGCTTAGTGTATTTTGGATTTGTTAGGTACCATGTAGAATTTATTTATAATTAATAATATTATTTAATCAAATTTAAATAAACAATCGGCTGCCAGCCGGACCTGACTATTACGATCGTTGATTGTCAACGGTCAACGATCAAAGTCAACCTTCGCCCAAGTTGACCATTAGTCCTGAATTTGCCATTGCCCGCGGGAATGACCGCGCACACACACACATGGGGGGTTGGGATTATTTTATTTGCACGGAACCCACAGGTCCCACTCATCCCATGTGAGGGGGTGGTCATCGGGCATGTCATCCATGCAGATCAAGTGGGATTATTCCCGAACGAATACTAGCATTTATCATAATAGTTTCCCTAGAGGAACGCCAATATTTCTTTATAGTATCTTGTAATCCGTTTTGAGATGATTGTTAAAAAATATGGAAATTGAAATAAGAAATAGAAATGATTAATTGATTTTATAGAATCTCAACTTTACTCTCTTGACAGAAGGGACCAAGAGAATTTGATCTAAAGAGTCTAATTCTTAACCATTGATAGAGTATCAACTTTATGAGGTATCTATAGAACTAAACTTGAATTGGTCATTTTTGGCACAAAGCTAAAGTGAAAATATAGCATTCCAGCTGCTGTATTCTTCTTTTACAAAATGCCTGCTTTTCCCTTCCAAAGTTACAACCAATTAATTGCAGCAGCACATATCCATCAAGGAAGATATCACGCGTAAAAATCTGGATAGTAAACCAAAACTCCCAAAAGATGCAAGGCAAGCATTAGTCTCGACTTTCAGAAATAAATTACAAAATTGTAATTGCAAATAACAATCAAACAGACCCCAATTTTATCCGTCTGGGATTGACATTTACCTGAGATTATCTTTCTTCCCGGATGGACCTGTTTGTTTACAGCTATGAACTTGCAAGAAATTCTGAGTACGTCTGACTTTCACCATAGAGTAACATATTACCTGTTCATGTGCTTACTCACGCGCAAGTACTTTCACTTCATATTAATAAGTTTTAGCATCCAAGCAACAACCAGTAGCTTATTTGCGTTGGGTCCTCCAAGCGTTCCATTCAAGCCTGTAGATGACAAGCCAGTTTTTAACGAACAAATATTTACCTGAAGTCTCCTAGTAGACTAATGTCGTAATGAATGGTTGTGATGAACACTACGATTCTTCCACCATAATACCAATCTTAGCCGTGTTTTTCATGGACGTAATTCTGGAAAAGAAGTAACCCAAGCCAATTAAAAGAAAGATATCGAGTCCGTTAAAACAAGAGGATGTGATCAGCAGTTTGCATATCTACCATTAAAGCAATCATATCAGTATTTATTGGTTTAAGAAAGTAGCACCCAAGAAAAAGAAATTCTTGACACACAACTGCTCGATATTACTTTAAATACAAAGTCCACTAATTTCTTTAAAAGTTTCTTTCCTATAACTAATTAGGTAACTACTCGATACAGATTTTCAAAGGGTAGACTTGAAATTTAAATTTACCACTATCCTTTAAGATGGTGTACTCGAATGGACGGACCAATGTGTTTAACACAATAAGCAATTCAAATTTCAGGCTCGTGGATCGTATTATCAACAAGGGTAAGTACACTTGTCCACAGTTCATCACTACTATCTAATCTCACTCGCTCCACTAGCTTTTATCTCTCAGTGTCTAAATGTTTT